GCGAAACCCGTTGGACGTCTCATCTCGAAGGGGTTTCCTATTCTGTTAATGGTGGCTGAATTTTGTAATTTCTGACTTGTGCAATTTTGTTATTGCTTACTCCAAGTCTTTTCTTTTTTTCTATTTTTTTTGTTTTTGAATCCTTTTTTTTATCAAAGAAACTGTAACATATTTTTCTTGTTTTTGTGGGCACTCCCTTTTTGTTACCCCAGGAAAATGTTATCCTGCGGAAATAGGCGCGCAAAGGAACATTTTGGGCGCAACCCTTGTATTGTACCTTTTCGTAATTGTAAAATGAATGTTTTTCTCTTTTAAAATTTTAAGCAGCCGTCGTCTTGTTTCCTAAGTTTGCGCCTATTATCGTGAGTTGCTGTTTTTACCATCTAGGTTCTGTGTCTGGCACATGAACATGGAATTGGTAAGAAAGTAAAAAAATCTCGATATTCTTGACAAAATTGTCTGTATTGTTATCGGTCCTGACCTGGCATCTCGACTTAATTGACGTAGGTTCTCGCTGTCTTTCCTACAGATATTTCCATAACATTCTGATGAGCTTTTTTTTTCCCTTAGTAACTTGACTGCATGAATTTAAGCGTGTTACTAGATTGGCAATTAGGTTTCACTGTTTTTACTGTTGAACCGTCTGTTCTATTCTAATAGTTTCTTTTCTCACGCTTCCCGCATGTGAAATTCCCTTCCGATTACTTGCTTCCCAGCCAACTACAATCTTCAAATTTTAAAGGCAGATTTAATCACCATCTTCTGTCTTCCTGAATTCTGTTCCGTTATTGTCCTTCCATCCCCACCTACTAAATTCTTCTCATTCTCTTTCTCTCCCTGTAAACTCCTGTGCTCTAGTGATATTGTCGCCTTGCTTGGGGTGAAATGATTAAGAAAAATAACTGCATTTTTGAGATGACAAATTATTACAATCCTTTAACGATAGAAAATTTCAAGAGATTTATAACTACCAGATGAGATATCAATGTTTTTTTTTCTGAAAGCCTTTTCAGCCGACACTTAGAAAAAATGTCACCTATAAATGGCAAACGAACAAGCGTGCTACATGAAGTGCCAAATCAAAGAAGAAGAAGAAGAGCAGCAGCAGCAGCAGCTTGTGTAAATGGATAGTGGAATAGGGACATATGACAAAAAGACAAAATTTATTAAGGGCTACAAATGGCAGGAAATTGTGGAGAGCTATGATCATCAACGCCCCGAAGGGTCATGGTATATAGAAGAAGAAGAAGAAGAAGAAGAAGAAGAAGAAGAAGAAGAAGAAACAGAGCGTTAGACGAGCATGAAAGAAAAAATGAAAGAAAGAAACAAAGAACTTTAAGAGACTATAATCGTTCATTGATTTTTGCCCAATTTAGACGTCGATGTATTTATTTAGACTCCAAGATATTCATTTGAAAATTAGACCTTGCATAACTAATAATTGTAAAATACTGCTCTGTATATGTCCAAACTACTATTACTACTACTACTACTACTACTAATAATAATAATAATAATAATAATAATAACAAGTTTCAAACCGTGACGATTTCATGGTTTTCCTATTTTCTTTTTCTGATGAATCTTTATTCTTTTAAGTTAATGATTGAATAAGCTCATGGCGACTTCTATGACAATGAAATATTCGTAGAAATTCCCCCATGGCATCGTTAAATATTTGAGCTTAACAACTTTAACAAAATATTGCAATAACAATAATAATTATTAATGCTGGTCGTTAGTTTAAGAAGTAAGGGGGTACAAATGAAACAATTTGAAAATTGACAAGTTTTCACTGAAACAGACGTTAAGCACTTCTATCTTCTTTCTTTCTTTCATTTTCTCACAGAAACCAAGGAGTGTATTTCCCCCCTCTTTCTACGTGATCAAAACGGAATAGTTAATTATTTATGAGGTATTGGAAGGGCATAACGGTCGTGCGAACTAACGAAGGGACAAACAAGCACAATTATATAATATTAATAATAATAAACAAAATACTTTAGCATAACTCTTCCTATTTTTTCAGCATTTAGAGAACTGTGCGACTTAAGAAAAAAGAAAAAAACACGGTGTTTGACAATATTTAACGATATTTCAAGACTGTATGTCTGTCTTCTTGAGGTTGATGTATATGCTATTATCTTCAGCATAATATGCTGGTAATAATTATTTATGCAAACTACTAACTTCCCACCCAGGCGGGAGAACAAAGTAACAGGAGAATTTCATAGGATTTATAATCATTTCACCACAAGCAAGGCAATAAAGCCACTAAGACTCAATGGGGGATAATGTGCGTGAGAGAATATGGCAAAAAGAAAACACTATTAAGGAGAGAGAATAGTAAAAGAACAGGAATTAAAAGAACAGAAGATAGCGATTGACATTGCATTTAAAGTTTTGAAGATCAAAGTTGACTGGAAAGCAAGAAACCAGAAAAGAGTTCTATAAATGAGAAGTACGAGTGAAGAAACTGTTAACATAGAACTTACGGTTACATCTAGTCATCTCAACTCCAAAATGATAAGAATACTAAGCTGTTTGATTAATTCCACTGAGTAACTAATCAGCTAACGGAAGATGATCACGATTACACACGTTTCAGTTGCATTCTATCCAAGTTGGCTGCATTTCACTCATTTTGATACGCTGATTACCAGTACAACCGTTTTTCTCAAGAAAGCGACTTTTATGCAAAGACTTTTATATTTTTATATTTGTATGCATTTTTAAACATAACTTGAAGAAGTCGAAATCTCGTTAAACATTGTTAAACACAGTGTCTTTTTTTTCTTTTTTTAAATCGAACTCTTCTCTAAGTGTCATATTGATAATAATAACAGTAATAAATATAATATTTAATAATACAAGTAAAAAATATACGGGAAAATCATGAGAATTTGATGTTTGTTAAACCGCTGAGCACATAACTACAGCTATAATCTATATAATAAATGCGAATGTCAGCGTGTCACTGTGTCACATTTTTTCCTCTTTACTCCTAGAAACCGTAGCCCAACATATCATACCATTTTGGAATCAGGCCGACTCCGTGAGCAAATTAAAAAAAACATTCCAGGTCGGATCCGAACCCGCAATCCTGAAATTTTGGATTCCCAAATTTTCATTACTGCGATTGTTTACAGGGATTTTTTTTACGTGTTATTTTTTTTTAGACAAATTTTTTGTACGAAAACAATTTTTATAATTTGGAAATAGATTTGAGAATAATCAAAATTAACTGCAAAATCAAGCAAAGGGCTGCCATGAAATAAAAATAATTTTTTGTATGGAAAGTAAGGACCTACGTACATCAAGCCTCGATATTAAGGCTGATCAGTCAGACAAGATTAAAATGGCAGCCGATGTCCAAAACGACCTCGAGTCCGTCGTTAAATGGCGCAAAGGATGGCTTGTTAATTTTTACGCACCCCCCAAGCTAAACTTTACTCCATTAATCATCTGAGAGAGCCTTCTCTGCTTTCCATCAGTATGGCTGATGCTAACCTCCAAGAAAATGACTCATTGCGACTTCTCGAGCTAACGTTATCAGCCGATATGAAATGGAAAGATTATATTGAATCTATTGCTAGGTCAACCTCTAAGAAAGTCAGTTCACTGTTTTTGCGAGACAATTTTTCTCTCCAGAATCTATCTTACATATCTATAAGTCTACCATTCGACCATGTTTAGAATATTGCTGCCGCATATGGACTGTTGCCCCTATTCACCTTGAGCTTCTTGATAAAATCCAAAGAAGAATCAAATATCAAATATCAGATTCAGTCCTGATCTGACGTATCGGTTTCAATAAATTTCTCACCACTGTAAAGTTGCCACCCTGTGCCTTTTCTATAAGTACTTTCCTGGTAATTGTTCGGATGAGCTCTTCGCTATGGTACCTAAACTTTTTTTTAAATTTAAGCGCAATACTAGATTTTTTGCGCACTTCTCGCTTGTGGAACTCGTTTCCGGCTCTTTACTTTCCAGCCAACTTAAATTTGCAAAAAAGTTAAATGCAATGTCAATCGCTATATACTGCCCTCCTGATTACTCTTTTCTCTTCTCACTTATTACTGTTTCTGTTCCTAATTCTTCCACACTCAGTAACACCTTTTGCGTCTTAGTGGCTTTACTGCCTTGCATTGGGTGATACCGATTAAGAAAAAGAAAAAAAGATATATTTTTTGGATTAAATTATGGTTATAGTTATCGCATATTACAAAAATTCGGCAAATATCCTGATTATCATCATGAGAACCGTTTCGACTGCAAATCAGTGTAATTTCTCATCTTCAGCAAATTTGTAAATATCTTTTATCACTCTTTTCGAAACCTACGTATCCTAAGATGAGGGCAACAGTCCGAGCAATGTAAATAGTTACAATAACTGATCTCAGAAATAGAGACGGATCTTGAAGAAGGCTGGAAAGTACAACTACCAAAACGTCGTAAATATAACAGTTAGGCTGAGGGCAACAGTCCGAACAATTGAAATAGTGTAAATAGTTACAATACCTCATCTCAGAAATAGAGACGGATCCTGAAGGAGGTCGGAGCATACAACGGCCGAAACGTTGTGAATATGACAATAAAGATGAGGACAAAAGTCCGAACAATATAAATAGGGTAAATAGTTACAATACCTCATCTCAGAAATAGAGACAGATGGGGAATGTGGTTGTACAGAAGGATGATGAGAATACTATGGGCTGAATATCTGAACAACAACGGAATGGAAACAAAAAGGACACTTATGAATCAGAAAGAAAGTTCAAATTTATAGGGCACACAATGACGAAATATGGCTTAGAAAATTTGACACTCACAGAACAAAAGGGACAGAAAAATACAGCTCATAATCTACCGAGCGTAATTGAGTCAATTTGATATAGCAAAAAAAAAAAAAACAAAAAAAAAAAACATTTACTAAGGGTTACAATGGACAAAAAATTGTAGAGAGCCATGATTGCTAATGCCCTGAAGTGACGCGGTACATAGAAGAAGAAGAAGAAGAAGAAGAAGAAGAAGAAGAAGAAGAAGAAGAAGAAGAAGCAGAAGAAGAAGAAGAAGAAGAAGAAACCAAACTGTCAATGAAGGTATCTCCATTGGAAGCAAATTACTTGTTGCCTACTAACGGATTATTCCAAAACGAGGCCAAATTCGTCGAACAAACAACCAGGGAAAACGGGCGGATGGACAGAGATGAAGTATTAACTGCATTCAAGACATCAAAATTCCATTCCGCAATGAAAAATTTTCCATTTAGCTGCAGGACAAATCGGTGATGATATTCTTCTTAGCAAGCAACTTCAAAATCATTACAAACCATAAAAATACCAAGGTCAATGTTTTCAAGGTTAATAAGTCGAATATTTTGATGAGGGTACAAGATTTGAGATTGTTACCAGTTCATTAATAGGAAGATTTATGGAAATTCCATTGTGGGCATCTTTACACTTCAGGAATAGAATACAAAAGAATTCATAGATTTGAATAATAGAAAAAAAAAAAGAAATTCTATCCTTTATAGTTTTAAATAGTGGCCTATCCATTACTAGCAGGACCCATGGAAATTCAATTGTGGGCATCTTTGCAAATTAGGAATAGAATACAAAGGAATTCATAGATTTCAATAATAGAGAAAAAAAAGAAATCATATCCTTTATAGTTTTAAATAGTGGCCTATCCATTACTAGCAGGACCCATGGAAATTCCTTCATGGGCATCTTTGCAAATTGGGAATAGAATACAAAGGAATTCATAGATTTCAGTAATAGAGAAAAAAAAAAAGAAATCCTATTCTTTATAGTTTTAAATAGTGGCCTATCCATTACTAGCAGGACCCATGGAAATTCCATTGTGGGCATCTTTGCAATTTAGGAATAGAATACAAAGGAATTTAGAGATTTCAATAATAGAGAAAAAAAGAAATCCTATCCTTTATAGTTTTAAATAGTGGCCTATCCATTACTTGCAGAACCCATGGAAATTCCTTCATGGGCATCTTTGCAAATTAGGAATAGAATACAAAGGAATTCATAGATTTCAATAATAGAGAAAAAAAAAAAGAAATCCTATCCTTTATAGTTTTAAATAGTGGCCTATCCATTACTTGCAGAACCCATGGAAATTCCTTCATGGGCATCTTTGCAAATTAGGAATAGAATACAAAGGAATTCATAGATTTCAGTAATAGAGAAAAAAAAAAAAGAAATCCTATCCTTTATAGTTTTAAATGGTGGCCTATCCATTACTAGCAGGACCCATGGAAATTCCATTGTGGGCATCTTTGCAATTTAGGAATAGAATACAAAGGAATTCATAGATTTCAGTAATAGAGAAAAAAAAAAGAAATCCTATCCTTTATAGTTTTAAATGGTGGCCTATCCATTACTTGCAGGACCCATGGAAATTCCTTCATGGGCATCTTTGCAAATTAGGAATAGAATACAAAGGAATTCATAGATTTCAATAATAGAGAAAAAAAAAAAGAAATCCTATCCTTTATAGTTTTAAATAGTGGCTATCCATTACTTGCAGAACCCATGGAAATTCCTTCATGGGCATCTTTGCAAATTAGGAATAGAATACAAAGGAATTCATAGATTTCAGTAATAGAGAAAAAAAAAAAATCCTATCCTTTATAGTTTTAAATGGTGGCCTATCCATTACTTGCAGAACCCATGGAAATTCCTTCATGGGCATCTTTGCAAATTAGGAATAGAATACAAAGGAATTCATAGATTTCAGTAATAGAAAAAAAAAAAATCCTATCCTTTATAGTTTTAAATGGTGGCCTATCCATTACTAGCAGGACCCATGGAAATTCCATTGTGGGCATCTTTGCAATTTAGGAATAGAATACAAAGGAATTCATAGATTTCAGTAATAGAGAAAAAAAAAAATCCTATCCTTTATAGTTTTAAATGGTGGCCTATCCATTACTTGCAGAACCCATGGAAATTCCTTCATGGGCATCTTTGCAAATTAGGAATAGAATACAAAGGAATTCATAGATTTCAGTAATAGAGAAAAAAAAAAAAGAAATCCTATCCTTTATAGTTTTCAATGGTGGCCTATCCATTACTAGCAGGACCCATGGAAATTCCATTGTGGGCATCTTTGCAATTTAGGAATAGAATACAAAGGAATTCATAGATTTCAGTAATAGAAAAAAAAAAATCCTATCCTTTATAGTTTTAAATGGTGGCCTATCCATTACTTGCAGGACCCATGGAAATTCCTTCAAGGGCATCTTTGCAAATTAGGAATAGAATACAAAGGAATTCATAGATTTCAATAATAGAGAAAAAAAAGAAATCCTATCCTTTATAGTTTTAAATAGTGGCCTATCCATTACTTGCAGAACCCATGGAAATTCCTTCATGGGCATCTTTGCAAATTAGGAATAGAATACAAAGGAATTCATAGATTTCAGTAATAGAGAAAAAAAAAAAGAAATCCTATCCTTTATAGTTTTAAATGGTGGCCTATCCATTACTTGCAGAACACATGGAAATTCCTTCATGGGCATCTTTGCAAATTAGGAATAGAATACAAAGGAATTCATAGATTTCAGTAATAGAAAAAAAAAAAGAAATCCTATCCTTTATAGTTTTAAATGGTGGCCTATCCATTACTAGCAGGACCCATGGAAATTCCATGATGGGCATCTTTGCAATTTAGGAATAGAATACAAAGGAATTCATAGATTTCAGTAATAGAGAAAAAAAAAAATCCTATCCTTTATAGTTTTAAATGGTGGCCTATCCATTACTTGCAGGACCCATGGAAATTCCTTCATGGGCATCTTTGCAAATTAGGAATAGAATACAAAGGAATTCAGAGATTTCAATAATAGAGAAAAAAAGAAATCCTATCCTTTATAGTTTTAAATAGTGGCCTATCCATTACTTGCAGAACCCATGGAAATTCCTTCATGGGCATCTTTGCAAATTAGGAATAGAATACAAAGGAATTCATAGATTTCAGTAATAGAGAAAAAAAAAGAAATCCTATCCTTTATAGTTTTTTAAATGGTGGCCTATCCATTACTTGCAGAACCCATGGAAATTCCTTCATGGGCATCTTTTGCAAATTAGAATAGAATACAAAGGAATTCATAGATTTCAGTAATAGAGAAAAAAAAAAAGAAATCCTATCCTTTATAGTTTTAAATGGTGGCCTATCCATTACTAGCAGGACCCATGGAAATTCCATTGTGGGCATCTTTGCAATTTAGGAATAGAATACAAAGGAATTCATAGATTTCAGTAATAGAGAAAAAAAAAAAAAAATCCTATCCTTTATAGTTTTAAATGGTGGCCTATCCATTACTTGCAGAACCCATGGAAATTCCTTCATGGGCATCTTTGCAAATTAGGAATAGAATACAAAGGAATTCATAGATTTCAGTAATAGAGAAAAAAAAAAAGAAATCCTATCCTTTATAGTTTTCAATGGTGGCCTATCCATTACTAGCAGGACCCATGGAAATTCCATTGTGGGCATCTTTGCAATTTAGGAATAGAATACAAAGGAATTCATAGATTTCAGTAATAGAGAAAAAAAAAAAATCCTATCCTTTATAGTTTTAAATGGTGGCCTATCCATTACTTGCAGGACCCATGGAAATTCCTTCAAGGGCATCTTTGCAAATTAGGAATAGAATACAAAGGAATTCATAGATTTCAATAATAGAGAAAAAAAAAAAATCCTATCCTTTATAGTTTTAAATAGTGGCCTATCCATTACTTGCAGAACCCATGGAAATTCCTTCATGGGCATCTTTGCAAATTAGAATAGAATACAAAGGAATTCATAGATTTCAGTAATAGAGAAAAAAAAAAATCCTATCCTTTATAGTTTTAAATGGTGGCCTATCCATTACTTGCAGAACCCATGGAAATTCCTTCATGGGCATCTTTGCAAATTAGGAATAGAATACAAAAGGAATTCATAGATTTCAGTAATAGAAAAAAAAAAGAAACCTATCCTTTATAGTTTTAAATGGTGGCCTATCCATTACTAGCAGGACCCATGGAAATTCCATTGTGGGCATCTTTGCAATTTAGGAATAGAATACAAAGGAATTCATAGATTTCAGTAATAGAGAAAAAAAAAAAAAATCCTATCCTTTATAGTTTTAAATGGTGGCCTATCCATTACTTGCAGGACCCATGGAAATTCCTTCATGGGCATCTTTGCAAATTAGGAATAGAATACAAAGGAATTCATAGATTTCAATAATAGAGAAAAAAAAGAAATCCTATCCTTTATAGTTTTAAATAGTGGCCTATCCATTACTTGCAGAACCCATGGAAATTCCTTCATGGGCATCTTTGCAAATTAGGAATAGAATACAAAGGAATTCATAGATTTCAGTAATAGAGAAAAAAAAAAAGAAATCCTATTCTTTATAGTTTTAAATAGTGGCCTATCCATTACTTGCAGAACCCATGGAAATTCCATTGTGGGCATCTTTGCAATTTAGGAATAGAATACAAAGGAATTCATAGATTTCAGTAATAGAGAAAAAAAAAAAAGAAATCCTATTCTTTATAGTTTTAAATAGTGGCCTATCCATTACTTGCAGAACCCATGGAAATTCCATTGTGGGCATCTTTGCAATTTAGGAATAGAATACAAAGGAATTCATAGATTTCAGTAATAGAGAAAAAAAAAAAGAAATCCTATCCTTTATAGTTTTAAATGGTGGCCTATCCATTACTAGCAGGACCCATGGAAATTCCATTGTGGGCATCTTTGCAATTTAGGAATAGAATACAAAGGAATTCATAGATTTCAGTAATAGAGAAAAAAAAAAAAATCCTATCCTTTATAGTTTTAAATGGTGGCCTATCCATTACTTGCAGGACCCATGGAAATTCCTTCATGGGCATCTTTGCAATTTAGGAATAGAATACAAAGGAATTCATAGATTTCAGTAATAGAGAAAAAAAAAAAGAAATCCTATTTTTTATAGTTTTAAATAGTGGCCTATCCATTACTAGCAGGACCCATGGAAATTCCATTGTGGCCATCTTTGCAATTTAGGAATAGAATACAAAGAAATTAATAGATTTCAATAATAGAGAAAA